ATATCCACCGATAATGTAAAGTTTGTCCACACTATATCATATAATGCATTTACAAATAAAGTACTATCATGCATGATAAATTTGTTAATTTTGATAAGAATCATTCTAAAAGTCTCACTAAAATTGAATTTTAAATATTAGTTAGCAATGTAAAATTTTATATTAGCTCTGTATATCTCTTGAACTATATTAAAAAAAATTATTAATACTTTTTTAATTTAGTATTATTTTAAAGAATAATATTGTTCTTGTTATTATTTTTTTATGTTTTTTTTTTATCACTATTGCCTATATAATTTTAGCTTGGTAGGAAGTTAAAAGAAATCGTGAAAAAAAATGTTGTTGTTAAGAACATAAAAAAAAAAAAAAAAAGATTGATGGTATGCTTTTTAAAACTAAAAAAAAAACTAAAGTTTAAAACTGAAAATTGATTTTGTTTTTTTAATAAACTAAAAACCACCCCCCGACAAGACCTATTTAATGATTTGTAACTTGCACAAAATGAACTGAACTCATTACTACGTAAAGCTTTAAATGCTCATCAATGAGAAACTATTTAATGCACAAAATGTGTCATTAAATTGCTGAGTTCAATTTAAAGGGAAAATGAATTTCAATTCAGTTTCACCTTAAATCTAAAACAAGTCAATTCTTAGGCTTTCTTTAGTACTCCTTGCGTTTTTTTCATTGTTTTTAAGGTTATGCACAAAAATTAAGATAATGATTAATATTTTAATTTTTTAAAGTATTTATTATATATTTTCCTGTTATACTTTTTAGGTAGTTGGAGAAGAAATACGTATATTAGAAAATGAATAAACACATTATTCAGTAAACATGCATTAATTATCAAAGATAAAAATGAAAAAGAAATTAATAAGTCATTAATTTTAGAAAAGTGATAATGAAAAAAAATAACAAAATCTGACAAAACGATTATGAAAAAAACGGAGAGAGTATAGAAGAAAGAAATAAAGTGAGAAAAATAGAAGAGAATTATGAGAAGTATAAAAAGATAAGTCAGAAATGGAGAAAAAATTAAGATTGTTTAGTAATAATAAAGAGAAAATAGATGAGAAATACACTTCTTATAATTTACCCAAATTTTATTCCATTAATATATATATGGCTTAATTTTGTTTTTTATCTCTCAAGTATTGTAATTGTGCAATTTTGATCCTCAAAGTTTTAATTGAGTAATTTTAGTTCTTAAAAGATTGTAATTGTGTGACTTTAGTCCCTTAATTTTTAATTGAACAGTTTTAGTCCTTCAACTATTATAATTATGCGATTTTAGTCTTTTCGATTAAAAATTTAGTAATTTTAGAATTTATATAATATATATATATGTATAATATTTTAAAATTATACAATTATTTGTTTATTTAAGTTAACGTATATTATAATTTTTGTTAATATATCAAATGATATATATTTATTATTACTAAATAAATTAAATTTATGTATTATTAGTATTTCAATAATATTTTTAGTATATTTATAGATAAACTAATAATTTGATAAATATGACTTAGTATATATTAATATATTTTTACAAAAATATAAATATATAAGAAAAGATATGTATATTTCTAATTAATATACTTATATTTTTGTAAAAGTATATTAATATATAATAAATTATATTTATCAAATTATTAGTTTATCTATAAATATACTAATAATATTATTTATTGATATTAATTTATCAATAATATTATAAAAATAATAATATATAAATTTTATTTATTTATTAAAAAGAAATATATATCTTTGATACATTGAAGAAAATTATAATATGCGTTAACTTGAGTAGACAAATAATTGTATAATTTTAAAATATTATATATATATATATTAAAATTATTAAATTTTTAATGGGAGAGACTAAAATTGTATAATTATGATATTTGGGATACTAAAATTATTCAATTAAAAATTAAAGGACCAAAATCGTATAATTACAATCCTTTAGGGACTAAAATTATTTAATTAAAAATTTTGAAGATCAAAGTTGCACAATTAAAGGATCAAAAACGCAATTAAAAGACTACAATACTAAAAATAAAAATTACACACTTCTTATAATTTTTTTTACATATATGTTAAGCAAATTTCAACTCGATCTCAATTAAATTTAATATTTTTTTTTATCTATTAGAATTTGATATCAAAATATTTACAACAACTCATCTACCATGTTCAACAAACTAAAAACTTCTTTGATAAATTTTTATATTCGTTTACAGGCAACTAGATTAGATTTTATCTTAATGCTACTTATATTGTTTTACATATAGTGAAAAAAAAAATTATAACTCATTTTAATGTTAATAGTATAAAAAGCATCACCCCTGTAAATTACATAAAATAAATACAATTATAATATTATTATTTACTTAAGGAAAGATTGATCGTAAAATTATACTATATTTACCATAAATGAGAAAAAAAAATATTTATTATTAAAATAAAAGAGAATGTTTAGCGAATATTTTAAAGAGTAATTAAAACATAAAATAATATATTTTTTCAGATAATAATGTTATTGATACAAAATATCTACCAACTTTATCAATGATTAATCTACACCAAGAAATTTGGTACGACGCATGGTAATTAATGAATCACTATACTATGAGTATTCATTATCTCAACTATCACAAGTTGAATGTTTTATCGGATTCAATTAAGATCTTATAATCACACATAGGTACCTTATTCTCAACATGTTGATAAAGAGATCCCAACTATTAAATATCCCAAGGTTATGACAAATGATTTCATAGGCCTCTCTAATTGAATTCCATCACAAAACCTCTAACAAACTTATGCATGGTATGCATGATTCACACGCATTTGCAAATCACATTACAATTCACAATTTATCACATACATATGCTTGCCAATTCCTAAACTTGGTCTTAAACTCGTGTTAAGTCTCAAACTTAGTCTTTATCACCACATATTTACTAAGTCCAAAACTTAGTCTTATTAGATGGATAAACTTAGTTTTTAGAGAGTTTTCACTCATCTTGTCTCATCCCACCTCATTTTACCTTATCTCATCTAATCTTATCAAATGCTTCTATAACCCTTGTGAGGTGTAAACATAATATCTTGAATTATACTTATGTTATCTAGTTGATTTTTATTTCATTGAAAGTTATGATAATTACTTACAACTCCTATATTGGCCTCAAGTCTTATTTTACCATTTACTATACCAAAAATTACAAAAATTGCATAATTTTTTTAATTTAAATTTGATAACTTGTCATTTACTCACTAATTTGATAATATTTTAAGCTCAAGACATTTCTTTTGAGTGATTCCAAGGGCATTAATTATCTAAAATCCAAAGCTACAATTTTTATTGAAGATGACACAATTTAATTTTGTTATATATCACACTTGACGAGATGGAGAGATATTTCTCACACCCATCTCTATGTTTCTACATTCAATATAATCATAGAATTTATATTTGTACAGAAATGTGATTTTCTTGAATTGGAGGTTTCTAATGACCTCCAATTACTAAAAAAATTTCATTCAACACTAAAAGGCATACTAAAAAGTTATTAACAATTACAAACATCAAACTCATGTAAAATAGTTTCTTTTTCTAAGGGGTGTACAATAGCTTCTAAACCATACAAATTTTATAAAATTATCAATTTAACTCATCAACTCTAAATTACTAAAAAATTGTATAAACTCAAATTAATACAATAAATCAATCAATAAATGTAATTACACAAATAAACATGTAAAATGTTATCAACACCCCCTTTGATGTGTTCATAATCTCTCCATTTGCATAAATTTAAAAGCTAAAATCCTTAAAAATTATCTCACTACTTTCAATTCCAAAATATACACATACAACAAGATTTTCACACTCCCTCCAATAGTAATATATATATTTTTATGTTATATATAAAGAATTTAATTTCTAAACATTATTAATGTGATTTTTTTTTATATTTTTAGTGAATTTTTTAATTTTTGGTAGAGGTATTGTTAGTGAATTAAAAAGGTTCATTATTATGGCTTTTTTTTTAATAATTATTATAAAAATTAATAAATTTATTATATATAATAATTTATAATTAAATAACAATATAACACTATAAATCACATTACTTGTGCATATAATATTATATATATATATATATATATATATATATATATTATGGTATGTAATAATGTATGGATGTATAAAATCATGTTACATTTATTTTATTTTTAGTTAATCAATAAAACGTAAAATGATATTCCGTAATAATGGGAAAAGTATAGTTTGGTGTTTGGCACAGTAGATATAAGGTTAGTAGGTTACGGTAGTGGCAGTAGAGAGGAACGACCAAGCAGAGGGTTTTGCAATTGTTTCGATTTTCCTTTGAAAGCGTTTGAAAATAACAGACAAATGAAAGGAATGAGTTATGATGCGATTGCGAGTGTCAGAGCCAATTCAATTCCGATTTCAGATTCATCGATAGCTTAAACACACAGGTTCGCTTTCATTTTTCAGTTCCTGTTTGTGTATATTGCTCTCTTTCTTACACTAAATTTTCATCCTTCGTTTTATCTGCTCCTCTATTCACCTGTTCGTTCCAATTTATACTGCAATTTGCATTCTCATACGCCCTTTTTATTCTTCAATTTATGTAATTGCTAAAGACGAGCGCCAAATTACAGTTTCTGGTTGTTCTTAAATGCCGGAGGAATCTAGTTCTACAGCTGCATAAGGGTAACTGAATTCACAAAAATGAAGTGTCTGACAAACATCTTCAGACTATCCAGAAAAAAAATACCTTACTAAAGAAATGCCTTGAGATTAAGAAATGATGCTAAAGTGCTAAACAATTTCTGCAACAATTTCATATAAAAATATTTAGCAACAAACTACTCTCACTAAGAATCTAATTATTAAAAAACAAATATCTCCTTATTATCATCATATCATATTCTACGTAATGGAGTTATGTGCGCATCTGACTGTATCGCAATGTGTTATGTGCAGATTGACCCTACTGTTGCCTTGACATCTGACTGTGTCACGTTTGCCTTCCATGTGCAAAATGACTTGATAAGAGAATGAGTGCAGAGATTGATTCAACTTCTGCTCCTGAACCTCACAAAATGTCTGGACCTTCATCTGCAGCAACTACTAGTGGCCAGAAGCTCTCTATATTTGCTGCCAAATCTGGATTTGTCATCCCTAAAAACAAGTTGTCAGGGTCACTGGTCCCTATTTTCCGAGGGGCTAAAAAGCACAGGGTCACTGGAGCCATCAATGAAGAAAGTTCAAAACAAAGTGAGAGGAGATCAAAATGGGGACCTGATCTGACACAAGATGCAACCGTCAGGAGGGGAAAAGTTTTAGCTTTGCAGGTGTTTTCTCGAATCCTTTCAAACAATACTCCATTAACATTTTACTGATATGTAATTTTTTTCTTCTTATTATTCCATCGCCATTTCTGTGAAAGTATTCAATTATAAGGTTAAGATTATATTTCTTTGCAAGTTTTGATTAAAATGTTTGTGTTACTATTCCTTTTTTTTTTTTTAGTTTGCTCTTGGCACCATCCCAACTAATGCTTCCTTGCTAGCTTAAAGCCTTAAACCCACAATACTGCATATTGTGAGATACGCACTTTTTTGTTTTTTTTACGTACATGTCAACATGAGATTGACATTGGTAAAGAAATATTTTTACTAGACTTTAGTATGGAATGACATTTATAGCTAGAAGATAAAAAAATTCCTTAACAAGTTGAATGCTATACCATGTGCTTCCGCTCATTTTTGCATTGGTTCTTGTTTCTAAGGTGTCAATAACTGATATTGTTGTTGCACACATTCTGTAGATTCGAGTGGATCAAATTACAAGGCAGTTGGAATCAGAAAAGCTTGAAGCTGGGGACACCCAGAACTTGGCACTGATGGCTGAGAATCCAGATAACAGCAAATCTGGCCCTCAAATTGACAGCAAGGTTAATGACAATTGACACTGTTCCTTTTAAAATTTGTTACTTTTTTAAATGTCATACATTTACTCTTAAATAAACTTCTGTTGTTGATTTATGGATCTAAGAAGTCAGAAATTCTCGAACTTGAAAAGCGAGAGGCAATAGGTTTGTTTTCCTTGAAGTATATCTTTCCTTTTTGTTCCTCCCGTTTTATTCATACGGGCCGTTTATTCCATTCTAATCTTGATCTTAATCATATCCAGGTGAAATACTAAAATTAGATCCCAGTTACAAGCCTCCATATGGTTTTAAACCATTGTTAAAAGAAGCGAACATTCCTTTGCCTGTAAGTATTGATTCTAAAATTCTGCTAGATGTTATTCAATACTAATTAAATTCCATTGTTAACTTGTTATAGTTATGAAAAATAGACATACATTTCCTGGATTTAGAGTTCAACATTTTTCAGTGCATCCATGCTGCCATACGGGTGTCATTTGGATGGCTTGGATAAGTTAGTTTGATTATAATGGATAGATAAAAAATAATAAAAAATAATTTATTAATCTATTTATGGTCCTTACAAATGGATTAAAAATATTCAACTCATCCACAATCCATTTAATTATAGCATCCAATTCATCCATTAATCATTTTTTATTGGATGGATATCCGACCGATCTGTTTAAAAAGTATGTTATATTTTAAAAATTCATTTTCAATAATTGGAATAGTATTGTCAATGGATTGAATAGTGATGGAGAAGCTGCAGGAAAAAGAAAAATGGCTTTCAATAGCAATATGAAGAAAAACCACTTGATCCATTTTCAATAATTTAATAATCCAATGGATGAATCATTACCCAACCAATAATCACAATAACCCAATCTATTCAATCCATTTACTTAAAATGAATTGATTGTATTGGATTTAATTTTGGTTGGATTATGGATATATGGATTATTTTGCGAACCTGTATGCATTCCAGCATATTTTGTAAAATTCTTCCCCCTGCTCTATCGATGGAAATTGATAAAGAAAAGGGTGATACAGTGCATGAGTCTCTTTCCTAGTAGGGTTTGGCCATGTAGATGTATGCCGTCCTATCCCTAGAAGCAGCAGGGCTGTTTCTAGGATTTGAACCCATGTCTTGTAGGTCACAAGGTAGCAACCTTATCATTGTTTGGACATTGATTAATATTGATATATTTAATGATTTCATGCTTTGTCAAAACTATAGTATTTAAAGTTCTGTTATCAATATTCGTCATTAAGGGTGTGGATGAGGTTTTGTGGGCCTTTTAATCTTTATTTATTTATGTTGTGAGGTGGTGAGGCCTTGTATTATTTCTTTGAGTTTGACTTGAAGGTCCCTGGTAGACTTGAGCATGTGGCAAGGGTTAATTAACTGACCAGAAAGAGATAACTAATTTCGAAACTTGTTCTTTTCCATAAATGATCATCCCATCCTTTTTCCTTATTTGCTTTCCTGATGGTTGATGTTGATTGAGAATCTCACTCATATTCTTAGAGAAAGTTGAAAACTAACTTGTAGTATAAGATGTATCATTGAATTGAACTTAAGAATTGAGGCACACTAACAACCAACCTAGATTACAATATATTACTAGGATACTGATTGCTCAGCAGAGTAAGAACTCAAAATGACTCAACCTCCTTTGCTTCTCTTATGTTAATGCTAAGGTTTGGCATTCCTTGGTTCTGATGAAAACTCTCATATATGTAATACCGTCTTTACAGGTCCAAGAATATCCATGGTACAATTTTGTTGGTCTAATATATGGTCCTGAAGGTGATAACCAAAAACGACTAGAAAAGGTAAGATCATTGTGTTGATATCTAATCTTCATCAAGTGATCAGCTGTCAGCAGTTTGCATCTGCTGATTGAGATCATGAAATTAAATTTCTTCAGTTTTTCAATTGATCTTTGATATATGTGTATATCAGGAAACTGGTGCCAAGATAAAAATGCATGGAACCAAAGCAGACACCGGAGAGAAAGTAAGTTCCTTGATAATAATCATAATATAATATGGCTTTTATCTGCACAAATGACTATTGAAACATTTTAACTTAGTTTTGTGAGGAAAGAGCTGTAATTGTTTGCATTTGCTTTCTATTTTCTATTCATCTAACTGTTACATTTTCAGGGTGAAATTAAACCTGGAACTGATATCCAGTGCAGTTACAAAGAGATGCATGTCAACATATCAGCTGATAGTTTTGATAAAGTGGACGCAACAATGTCAATCATTGAGCTGCTAATTACCTCTGTAACTGTGAGTCTTGTCATTTCACATGATATGAGGAGTTTTTATGATTTATGGTTATGCTATATACTTTTTCTTGTCTGTAATTTTTTATGTTTAAAGTTTTTGCACACCTTTAAATAAATATTTAGCACTAGTATATTAAGTCCAAAATACTCTCATTTAATATCTTTAATAAGAGAAATTGTGGAGTAGGAATAACAACTGTTAAGTAGGGGTATATGTTGAAAAAATTAATTAATATTACTTGGAATGTATAAAACATCAAAATTTTTGGAACAAAAGAGAAAGGTTAAAACATAAAAAATTATGGACCAGAGGTAGTAACACTTTATATTACTATTTTCATAATGATTCCATTCCTTCTGTAATTTTGACTGTTCTTGTAATTATTGCGTCTTTAATTCAGGGGAATTTAGCTGCTGGTTCTACAACCCCTACATCAGTTTCTAGGGACAGCACTAATGTTCTGAGTCAAAGGCAAGAAGGCCCCCCTTCTCATGCAGATTCTCTAACTCTCGAAAATCAGGCTGTGTTGCAACCTGTAGCTGTTACACAAATGCATGGAGATAACTTCCAATACTCTGGTCCATGGTTTTCAGCGGTTCCATCTCATAGGCCTGTGTTTGCTTCGTCTGGCAGTGTAGCCCCCCAAAATCCACCAGGTCTTGCTAGAACTCCCCATTTTCCATCACAAACTTCAAACATGGCTTCGACTTTTGGTGCCCAACCTGTACCTGTTGCTGGATTTCAGCAGATTATTCCAAATCAAAATGTTTCTGTGCAAGCACCACCACCAAGACATATTTTACAGTATCCGCATATGACTCAGGCACGTCCTTTGGGTAACCTTGGCCCCCCAAGAAATCCTTCTATAATATCTGTACAGAATATGTCAACTCCAACAAATGCTTCACTTTCATTTCCTGTTACTTTAAGCCAATCAACGGCAATAGGACAACATCAGACATCAGTGTCATCAATGCATCTACCTATATCTGGTATATCACCATCACCGATACCTAACCAGCCATTGACCTATCTTGGGGTCTCTTCTGGCCATAATGAAGCCCCTGTCACTGTTAAAATGTCTGTAGGTCCCAGCAATATGGGGCCAATGGCTCCACCAGTGGTTCCACCTGCAAGACCTGTTTCTCTACATCAACAACCGGATGTTGCATTCAAGCCTCCACTGTCAAACATGTCAATGATGCCACAATCTGCCACCTTTCCTCCACATCAAGTAGGAATTTCCTCTGGACCACCATCATCTTCTTTGAGACCCATGCCTGTACCAATAGCTGCACCTACACATTCATCTGTAAACCATTTATCGGGACCTGTTTCATTTCCTTCACCTGGAATATCCCCTTCACTTCCATTACCTCAGCAAGCAGGAATACCTAATTCTGCTTCTGGAGCTTCTCCTTATCACGCCCATGTAAAACCACCGGTCTCGGTGACATCAAAATCTGGAAATTTTACTTTTCGATCACATCCACCCAATGCAGACTACAGCCAAGTGGTTTCTGGACCAAACAATCAAGCAGGTCCCATGCAAGAGCCACCTTCTGGTCCACGACCTCCACCATTTGGGTTTGTTGTGCCTGATCGGCCTCTTCAAATCTTTCCTAGGACACAATTCCCCGATCAAGTGGATAAAACAATCCCCTTTGGAGGGATTTCAGGTTCCATCTCGAACTCAATTCCACCACCCAGACATGCTGCATTTCCATATGCTGGTCAACCTGCACCTAGATCTTCAGTCCCACAAATGGGTATGAAGAACTTCATTTCTGCGCCTCAAATGCCAAATTTGAACAGTGCTGGTGCCGAAAGAGGCATGCCTATTCGACAAAGCTATCCTGTTCATATGACACGGCCAGATATCCCAATGCCTCTGAATCACAAGTTTGCCAACAATCCCCCCATGACTTCTGGTAAGCTACCTTCTGACCAAATTTATGATCCCTTTTCACCCACTTCTGCACCTCCACAACAGAAAGGTAATCCTGGAAAATGAGGGCATTTGATGTGGCTACAGATAGGTGATACTGACAAAGTGAAAAGTTGATTTAGGAGTTAGGACTGCAGTTTTAGGCAAACAGACGCGATACTATTTGCATAGATTAATAATGGGCATCATTACATAATCTTATATGATTTCTTACCATAGTTTGAGTTGAGGACTTGTATTACTTGTTTTTTGGGCCTTTCTTTTCTGAATGCCCGTTACCAATGGTTGATTAGGATTTGAGTTCAACAATGTTTGCTGATGGGGGACCTATATTATAGTGAGAATGGATAAATGCATTCTTTCACTTTAATTAAATAATTAGTATATGTTAAAAAATATATTTTATTTTGCACCCTTAATTTTATATATTGAATCTATTGATGATTGTTTTTGATATTTATGTTTAGTTCTTTGTATATATATGATGATAATTATTAGTTTTTATTTTTTAAGAAAAAAATTGCTTCCACTAACTTGGGATCTTGGATCTGTCACTAAGAATGGTCATTTTTTCACAATGCAATGTAAACCACATAATTTCATTTGGATTCTTTACTTCGGCTTAGGTCGCATTTAAGTTTGGTTTCAATTATTTATTAGTACTTTTAAAGTATCTGTCGTGTACACATTTGACATCTTTTATCAACAATTTTAACTACAATTAATACCGATAGTTTAATTTTAAGTACTACAAGTTTTTGAGATTTTCATCTTCTCAATCAATTAAAAATCTTATTAGTTGTGACTTTTGATATTTTTTTAAGACTAAATCAAGTAGTTTTGGAATCGAAAAAATACTGTTTAGAGACGTGTGAATAATACTCACCGTAAATGTGCAAAGCTTGTACACAAATTTCTTTACGGAGGAAGCAATACAATACAATGTTGATAACTATTTAATGCAAGTTGGGTAATGAGTAGGTTTTAGGATTTGATTGGATTAACTTTTATGAGAATACTTTTATAAAGAAAAGATAGGAAGGAAAAATGAAATTTTTTTTATAAGTTAAAACTAGCTTATATATAAGTTAATTTGTAAAAATTCTTGTATAAATTTTCTTAAAAAATGTTATAAATTAGTTTGTGTATAAGTTAATTTTAGGTTATAAAAAAGTTTATTTTAATTTTTTCTTTCATAATAAGTGTTTCCGAAAAATTGCATTGAACAAGCTTTTAATTATTTTTAGGTCTATTTTTAGTAAAAAGAGTTGGAAGTACTTTGAAAGAAATGCACAAAATTAAATATAAGTAGCTCGAGGGGGAGAAATCCCAAACGTAGTGGATAATATGTATTGAGCTAAAAATGATGTACTCGTTAAAGTGTTTCCGACTACTAACTACAAATGCAAAGTCAAAGAATAAATGAATTTGTTGATCTTAACTGTGGAGTCACTACCAAATTCAGAAGTGCTTTCTTATGCACCCTTACAGACAGTTTTTCTGTGGGTCCAACATAACCATAATCAAATGATATAGCTAATCACGGATAGATCCAACAACATAATCACGGGTTAGTCGAATTTTTTTATATCTATATTGATTTGTCACGGGTTCATGTAAAGTATCTTCAAATAAAATAAAATTAAAACTATGAGTTTCTTTTTCTTTTTTTTTTGTTATCGAATTGTTATGTTATATATCAAAAAAAGCAGATCGATTCCCATATTTAGCCAACCTATCTTGCATCATCCCCAACAAAAAGGTGCTGATGAATGTACGTCTAGATATAAGGAGCGTAACATCCTCAAGAGAGAAACTTGCACAGATTCCATTGTCTAACTTGTAAAATGATTTATCTATTTTAGTGAAGGACCTGCTTTTAGTAAAAAAAAAAAAGAAAAAAAAAGAGTAGTATATACACTCCCTTAAATATAAATTTTTCTCCCATTTGACTCTGTAAATTTGGTATCATCCTTGAGGTGTCTTGTGCTGTGCCAGAACTCTGCTTTCACTCCCTCGTGTTTTGAAATCTCTTAGGAGAATGAAAATATTAGAACCTAACAATGTCGCCAAGAGAGAAGCTGTAATAAACCATATTTGGGTGACTAATGACATAAACAGAGAACATAGTATACGACAGTAAGTATGATACGAGAAAAGTAAAGGATTAAATTGTGATAATTTAGTTTTTAGGTTTGCTAAAATATTTTATTGAAATGTGTAAATAGAATCATGGGACATAAGCGGATAGAGACAAAAATTGGTTCACATGTGATAGATAGGTAGAGAAGGGCCCACATGACTATACATGTTGAAAAGTGATTGAGAAGCAAAGCATAAGTGATAGTTAGCATAGCATTGTGTGAGATTCTCTTTATCGATCCAATGGTTTGGAAAAGCAAAAGCCTCTCCTCCATGTTACTACTGCTGCTACTAGTGTTGGTTGGTTTTGCAAACTCAGATTTAAGCAAAGACAGAGAAGAGTGTGCAGACAAACTAATTGGTCTAGCTAGTTGTGTTCCTTACGTGGGTGGGGAAGCCAAAACCCCCACCATAGATTGCTGCAGTGGCCTCAAAGTGGTCCTTGATGAGAGCAAGAAATGCATCTGCATCCTCATCAAGGATCGCAATGACCCCAATCTTGGCATCAAGATCAATGCCACACTCGCTGTTCATCTCCCAAGTGCTTGCCACGCACCTGCTAATATATCTCAGTGCGTAGGTAATTAACTACTCATATCATATCATATAATGTCATGTCACACTTTTCTTAATTAGCTTTACATTTCAATTTCAATGCCTTCAGATCTTTTGCATTTGGCACCCAACTCTCCTGATGCTAAGCTGTTTGAGGGGTTCGAAAAATCAGCCAAAACAAACACTTCCTCCACCCCAGTTTCCAGTGGTAATTATTATTACTTAACATTTGATATAATATATTACTCTTACTCTTGTGCACGTGTTCTAATTGTGATCCATCCTATGCTAAGGTGGTGCTACTGCTACTGCTGAGAAGGGATCAAGTCAAAGTGCTGAGGAAAAGAGTGATGCTGTGTCCATAAAGAGGTGTCTGCTGCTTTGCTCTATCTTACCATTTCTCTTCCTCTTTGTTTGATCCACCTTCATGTGTCTATTTCTCATAGTTTTTTAATGCTTTCCTACTTTTGTGAGCAAAACTAAAACAAAATCTATCTATCTATTACTAGTTTTTGGAAGTAATTATCAATTCTTGTTGTTGGGTCTAGTCTTTTTCTTGTTATACTTCATACCTTTACCTGTACGTATACCACTTTCTCTTCACTAGAGGAAAGGAATTAATGGTTGATGCTCCTTTTTTATTTTCCACCATATTTCTGTCATGTATTATTACATTATAAAATTCACATTAACATCTACATCGATTTCAAGATGGGATTAAAGCCTGTAGTAAACTTTTAGCTCCTTTAAAGTTTAACCGCCGTGTGTGTTGTCGAAACGCTAAAAAACATACCGCGTTTTGGGCATAATGTTACAGCCCTTTTTGATTTCCTATTTTGGGTTTTGTTTCATTGCTTAACCCCAACTCATCACGAATTTTCACTTAACTAAGTCCATTATTTGAATATCCATAATAATTAAAATAAATGATAATGTAAATTTTTTTATATTGAGTTCCAACTTAAGATCTATATATATTATCTTAAGGTCGACTTTATTCTACATGCTATTGGGTAAAATTTTAACTTGCATAGCTAATAATTAATGAATATATAATGTTGACTATTAAATCATGTTATATTATCTTAATGATAATAATTATCAAATTTTTAATAAATTAAATATTTATAGATATGTAACTTTTTTAAAAAAATTTATTATATTTTAGAAAGTATTTTTAACATTAAAATAAAGTTAATTGATGAAGTTTTAAATAATATAAAAAATTATATGAAACTAATATTTTAACTTGTATAACACATAGACTAAATGTTTATTATATGTAACTAAAATTTATTATAAATTATATATACAAATAAATATTGTGTTTAAATATATAAATTGTATTTAAAATTTATGTAAATAGATATTTTGAAACATATAAATTATATTTTAGATTTATAATAAATAATTTATATTTATGTTCAAATTACTTTTTATTTATTGATAATTCATTTTATAATATTAATATATAATTCATAAATAATTATTATAAATAAAAATCGAATTAGATAAGAAATTAAAAAAATCTATACAAACCTTTTCAAAGAAAAATTCCTAAAAATACTCATACACAACATAATAATTCATATTTAAAATGTAATAATTGATTTTGTAAAGTTGATTTATTCACAAACATCATGTATATTTGGATACCCGTTTAAAATTATGTTCAATAAAATAATAAAAAGCTCGTGACTATAGTTTTTTATTAAATCACAAAGTTCAACTTAAATGATTTCCAAATACACCCATAATGGTGAATATGCTAAATTTTTTTTACGTTGCGTCTAAAATAGCCAAATCTTCCAAAATAATGGAAAAAAGATGATGAAGCAGATAAGAAATAAGAATGGTGGAAAGAAGAGAGAAAAATAGAAAGAAAGAATGGCATCTTTTGCCAGCTTCTCCGTAAAAACTCAAGCTTATTTGAGCCATGCAACTACAGCTTATATATATATATATATATATATATATATATATATATGTATATATATATATATATATATATGTATAAGAAATGATCCATTTACTTTAAGAGTAAGTCTACTTAGACTTATTCCGTTCAATAACTTATATTCTACATCAAATTTTAACGATCTAATCGTTGAATTTAAATTCTTAATTCATAGATCAAATTTGTAAATTTTTTAAAATTTGAAAACCATTTGATACTTCATTTCATAATTCAAATTGATAGATAATCATAAAATCATTTTATACATTGATTTGAATTAATGAAATAAAGTATCAAATAATTTTCAAATTTTCTAAAAATTTGTAGACTTGATCTATACATTAAGAACTTTAAGTTCAACGGTTCAATCGTTGAAATTTAATGTAGAATATGAGTTATTAAGAGAGATCCGTTTATTGTAGGAGTAAGTCTACCTAGACTTACTCTATTCAATAACTCATGTTTTACATCAAATTTCAATGATTCAACCGGTGAATTTAAAGTTCTTAATGCATAGATCAAGTCTGCAAATTTTTAGAAAATTTGAAAATCATTTAATACTTCATTTCATTAATTCAAATTGATGGATAATCATAAAATTATTTTATATATTGATTTGAATTAATGAAATAAAGTATCAAATAATTTTCAAAATTTTAAAATATTTGCAAATTTGATCTATGCATTAAGAACTTTAAATTCAACGGTTGGATCGTTAAAATTTGATGTAGAATGAGTTATTGAACACAGTAAATTTAGGTAGATTTACTCTTGGAGTAAACGAATCCCTCCTCGTATATATAAACACAAAGGTCAGTATCAGAGTAATAATTTAGACTCCAAAGATTCCTAATTTAAATAATTGTAAATTGTCCACGTACGGTTAAATTTAGAATAGGAACAATGTTTCACCAGATCATCACTCGTCGCGATATTAGTTTATGAAGGCTACCATAATCATTCAGATGTAGCCATGCAAATATTTTACTATGAAGACAAAGTAATCCTCAATAAACAAGCATAGCAAGGTGTCACTGCCAAACCTAAGTTTTCTTTTCTTAGTTTTTCCCAACCCTTAATGCATGCTTGTACTATTTTATGCTGAGATTGTGTATACATATATATTTAGTGATCTTTGTGGAATATCTCGAGCAAAATCTCTATCTCTGCGGCTTACAAGTATTGGCTGTTCAGATCGGGCTGATTGTCAAATCTAATAACATTCAAAGACCAAAATGGTTCAATTAAAATTGAAGAAACCAAAATTAAGATGAAAACTTCACTTACGCTTTTTTTCTTTAAAAAAATGACAATTTAGAGTGATAGGTACAATAAACTGTAGTGCTGATGTGTTTTAAAACCACTAAGTTAAAATACAATGATTATCCACTTGCCCATTTTCGTTCAACCAAGCATACCCTAAATACATAAGAAACACTATGAACAAATATAATACTTTTCATTCATTTCAGTCACGACTCAAATATTACAAAATTTTAGCCCATCAAAATGGGGAAAGTCAATGACAAAATATATTGGATATAAACATGATCAAGAGATAAATAGATACGACTGTAAAGAAAAGCCCCACCTCTCCTATCGCATTTTATACAACCCTTTCTCCCACCAAAATGAAAGTACATAAAGTTGTTAAAAAGAACTCCTAATTTGTCGGTAATCGCCGTTGCCAACACCTATTGATATGGCACGACCTCTACTGATGTGGTAATGATACCATATCTCCCTTAGCGATTATCATTGTAAACTGTACAAAATGACGTTGGCTTGAAACACAAGGAGGGTAAAAGTAAATTAAAGACCATAAACTTGGAACAGAAGACAAAAAGGGGGAAAATCCCCCTATAGGTGGTATGTCTGCACCTAATACCCAAGTATATAATGCTATCAGACATTGAAAATCAGTCCCATGCACTGGTTACCCCAGGACCGTATCCTCCAGCATACCCACTTGGAGCGCCATATCCACCATTGTTTCCTGCACTGTAGTAATCAGAACCACCTCTACTAAAAGAACCTTCCTTTCGAATGTCACGAGCACCAAAACGACCTCCTGATCGCCGATTTCGTCCACCACCAAAGGTAGAGCGAGCAGCATATCGTGAGAGCCAATCAGGTACTTCTTGATTTGATTCTTGCATCAGATCTGCTAAAGCCCTTGCTAGGGATGCATTGTTGTCATTAAAGAACGCAGTTGCAAGGCCTTTCTTTCCTGCTCGCCCTGTCCTTCCAATACGGTGTACATAATCATCGATATCATTAGGAAGGTCGAAGTTAACCACATGGGCAACATGAGGAATATCAAGACCACGTGCAGCCACATCAGTTGCAACCAGTATGGGGGTGTTACCACTTTTAAATGACCTCAATGCCAATTCTCTTTCCTGCAGCCATTGTACAAATGATAAGCCCAAATACACATGGACAAACAACATAAAAACTAGTAAATAATATAATGTAAAAACCTTTCAAAAAATTATAATTTTAACTACATTTAACCTGAACAAATGATATTTGTGAGCTTCCGCTTCAAACAAATAGTAAACTCAAAGACTAGGATTTTGGTCTATCCATTAACTTGACCTCCAATGTTTAACAGAAGTATTAACGTGGTACTCTGCAGCACATCCACGCCATCACTTTTGTTAAATGTTGGATGTAAAATTCACAGTTGAACCAAAATTCCACAATTAAAACAATGTACATGCCAAATTTGCAGGGAAAAAAAATGGTGGAGACAGATTGGATAAATGACAAGAGCAAGGGGACTAAATATTACAATACAAAATAAGTAATTTATACTACACATGAATAGTGGCCCATTAACTATTTTAATTGTACAATTTTGGTCCATTTGTTAACTTGACATTTAATCCACTCCAATATATTAAATAAGATCACAAGAACGTTTTTGGGGACTTCTCTTTAATGAGAGCGTTTTTAAACGTTTTTCTTTTGTGAGAAAATTTTTAGGATTCTTTTAACTTCTTAGCTATTTCAATTTTTATTTATTTAATTTATTTGTAAATTAAATTTTAATATTTTTAAAAAAATTATCAATAATTAAAAATAATCCGGTATCACAATATAAATTATTTATCATAAATTTAAAATATAATTTTTATATAGTATTTATTTGTATATATAATAATTATTATAAATTTGTTATATATAATAAACATTTTAACATGTGCGATACACATACTAAAATACTAGTACAAAGTAATTAGTCTACATCTTCACACAAATACAAAGGCAAATATAGTTATACAACAAACCTAACCTGCTGTGTCCTGTCACCATGAATAGTAGTTGCTGGAAAATTATTACGACACAACCAGTGCTCTAGAGCATCAGCTCCCTTCTTTGTCTCCACAAAAACTAAAGTCAAGGCTTGCTGCAGAATACAAAGTTATGCATGAAATTCGCTTAGGTAATTTAGCAATAGCATTTGATTTCAGAGAGAAAGAACATATCCATACAATGAGAAAATAGAAATTCATACAATAAATTTACCCCACACACACATATGCAACTATCAAGAAGAAACACTTGACAGTTGACACAACTAAAACAGATGGAAAATGAGTAGAAATGCCAAGAGGTTTTAAGGCAACATAATACATGTTATCTTGTATTGGCCTAAATATGGTCATGCAAGACAATTATATTGGGTTGATCAGTGTAATCCAGAAAAAAAAAAAAAAAAAAAACCCAAATTAGGTCCAAACAGTTTCAGGGACAGTACTAATATTAGGTATACTTTAAATGCTTTCGGTTTGCCAAAATACTGTTACAGGAGTCACAAATTAGTAAAGAAAAAGAAACTTGTAATCATAATCAATCAACTTAGGGAAATTATGCATCATTGGCTTCATTGCATAATCCTCATTTCAATTGACCTGGAAGTTGGAACATTTTCCCATGATCAATGCATGTCGGGATCAGTGTTCAGCAACTGATTCAAGCCAACAACTTGAATAAGCCCTTGGAAATGTGCATTTCTTTATATTCAATTGCTAAAAACATAAATATTAAGTTTTACACAAGTAAAATACGCTTTCTGTGAACTCACAATACCTTTCCTTGTACACCATTTGCCCTCTGAGCATGAAGAAGATCCATTAGGTGACTTCTCTTGTCAGACTCTTGAACATACTCAACTCTTTGGACAATTAAGTCGGTACTTGAGCCAACTCTTCCAACAGTCAGAAAAACATAATTTGAAAGGAAATCAGAGGCTAGTCTCTACATATAAATCACAACAAAATTAAAAGATGAAATGAGGAAGCTATATATCCAACAAATAATATTCACGTGCATTAATTAGACTTCTCAAGCCACTTATCACCCCAATTGAAATTAGAAATAGCCATGATTTAATTCTAATAGTGTTAATCTTTCTAAGAATAAAGGTGGAAGGAGTATTTAAGAGGAACATGCATCTCATAATTAATTAATAATTACAAGTAACATGGTAAGGTGAGGCACCTCCCGCTAACATAGAGAATATCAAACCTGTATCTCTTTTGGAAATGTGGCACTGAACAACATAGTCTGTCTGGCACCTGGTGGAGGCATGTCCATTTGTTCCACAATCTTCCTTATTTGTGGCTCAAAACCCATATCCAGCATTCTATCTGCCTCATCCAAGGCCAGATATCTAATCATCTGCAATGAAACTCTAGCTCTCTCCAGCAAATCTACCAATCTACCTGGAGTTGCTACAAGAATATCCACCCCTCTCTCGAGATCCCGTAGCTGGAAAATGATTTTAGTTAGAATATATAGCAAAAGGCATCTATCATAGTTAGTTGTAATAAAATAAATCAAAAGGAAAGAGCAAGGAAAGAAAACCTGCTGGTTTATTGGAGCTCCACCATAGGCAACAACAACCCTAACCCCTGTCTGGTACGCAAATTTCCTAGTCTCTTCATGTATCTGAAACAAAATGAAATATTAACTTGCATGGATAATAGTAATAAAGAGCGAATATTATATAAGAAGGTACTAACTTGCATGGATAACTCTCTGGTTGGAGAGAGAACAAGGGCAAGAGGATAAACTGTTCGAACCCCACGAGGAGGCCTTTGCTGCAAGGGTTGGCCTCTCATAATCCCACTGATAATTGGGAAACAAAATGCAGCAGTCTTTCCAGACCCAGTCTGCGCACAAGCCATCAAATCACGACCCGAAAGGGATATGGGTATGGCATGTCGCTGAATAGGCGTCGGCTTCACATATTTGCACCGTCTAATGTTCTTATTAAGCGCTTCGCCCAAGTCAATCTCCGCAAAAGTATTCACGGGCGGTGCCACGTTTTCACCGCTCGTCTCCACCGGAATGTCTTCGTACGCATCGAAATTGATTCCCGTATTTTCCTGCTCGCCAAACGCCTCCTCTGCTTTTTCCTCCTGGTCTCCGAAGGGGTTCGCTTCGCGGCGGTCCCAACCAACGCTTGTGTTCCCCCAACCGTTAGCGTGCGGCGGAGCACTCCACCGTGGCCCTGCATTATTATTATTATTATTATTGGCAATCACATTGGACGGTGCAGGTGCAGGTGCAGGTGCAGGTGCATGGGATTCTGCTGCTGGTGCACGGTTCCTAAGATGCGGAGGCACATAAACAGGGCGCGAAGGAGCTGTGGAGTTGGATGTTCCTCCATTTTCAGCTGCGGAATTCACAGCTAAATCAGCCCATGAAGTTCGCATGCTTGTCACCCTGATCATGCAATTCAAACACTTTCAAGTTCAAAAGCTAAGGCGCGAATGATGACGCGGAAGAGAGAAGAGAACCTGTATTGGGATTGGGAATACTAAAACCCTGACTGAATTGGAGACGATTATTGACGAAGATTGAGAAACCCTAAACGCCTTCAAACTTGGATTCAATGGGATGGATACAAAAATATCTTTCTGCCTTAGGATGCGCCTCCTTTCTCTCTCTCTTTTATTTTTATAAATGGCCCTTTCTCTTTCTGTTTCTGCTTCAAAATCAAAATCAAAATCAAATCCAATCCAATTTAAGATGCGCTGTATCTAACTGTTGTAGCTGCCGTAAAAAATCAACTCATATTCCATTCTTAGTTCCCAACCATTCTTAGCTCCCCAACCCCAATATTACACTAAATCCATTATTACCTAAATCTCCGTAATCCCAAACTTTCTCCGCCTTCACTTAATTTCGCCTCAATTTTTCTATTTCAAACTTCTACCTACTACTTTCTTTCAAACTTAGTATATACTACCTTATAAATAAAGTTTCTTATTTCTTTTTTAGCCAATTTAGTGATTAAAATTAAACATTTTTAAAAATTACAAAAACTTGTTGAGTAACTAGGATAATAAATATTTAATCACATAAATTATTATATCTTATTTTTTTTTATCATACTATAACATTATGTTGTAGTTTATTATATATTTTATTTTATTAATTAATTGATATATGTTGATGCGTTGTTTTAATGTTCTAAAACTTTAAAAATTAAATTTTTTTATAAGTTTAATTGTTTAGATATTGTCTTAGGCTAATGTTAGAGTTGACGAAGTTTATGAAAAAGTATATATAACTTAAGACTTGAATTTTGTAAGTACATATTTTTAAGCATTTCATAAAGAAGTTTAGAGAAAAAGACTCTAGAGCCAAAAGAGATCTCTCATCCTTCTAACTTCATAGGAGAGCTTTGATCCTTCCTTGAAACTTAAATTGAGTTACTGAGTTGTGATTCGAAACCAAGAGCTAAGAATCAGATACTTGTAGTTGTATGATAGGAACCCAAGAGGTCGTGTTCTCCATTGTTCTTCCTCCTCTTCTTCTTTTCTAAGAGATTCGAGATAAGAGAAGCTTCTAGATTACTCTTTATGATGTTACATGTGTTGATTCTTTTGTTGATTTGTCCATTGGTGGCTTTGAGGGCTGAATTTTTAAAATAAAGATTGGTATTCTTGGTATTTTGTTGTTATCAATAGAATGAAAAAGAAATTGTTAATCTTACTTCCTTGAGTGGTTGCATGTTGCTTTAATTGATGAATCTGAGTTGACTAATATGTATGTATGTATGTTGAATTTTGGGTTTTTTTTGGTGAATTATGGGTGAATAGAGGTTTGTGAGATCCCAAATTGCAATTCTTCAAAGTGTAAAAATCACCATCGCCCCAAGTGCAGCATCATGGCACCACGCATAAGTGATTTAGGGACTCATTGTCTTAATTATGTCGAGCACAAGATGAGTGATGTTGGACATGAATGACTCGAAGACTCTCTACATGATTTTTTGTCGGGTGTGAGTGAATCAAAGGTTTTTTGTCTCATTTTCAATGGGTGTGGGACAAGAGGCATCAGACGTGAATGAGCCAAAGGCTATTTTGGCCAGGTGTGGGATAAGTGGTGTTGGGCGTGAGTGAGTCAGAGGCTCTCTACTGCATTTACGCCAGACATAAGATTAGTGACATTGGACATGAGTGTCTTAGAGATTGTCTATCTTAATTATTTGATGTCAAATGCAAGCTTGATCATGTTGGGCATGAGTGTGCTGAATGAATATGATGATTATGAGCAATTATATAAGAATGATCAAGTTGCTTTAATGTTGAAAGCATGTTGTTGTGTTGAGTTGTATGTGATATGCATGAAGTATGTTGTTGGGTTGAGTTGTATGTGATATGCATGAGACATGTTGTTGTACTATGTTGTGAACATAGGATTAGAGGAAAGGTGTTGCTTTAAAAGTTGAAATATTCTATTGTGTGGATATGTGTTGTGGTGCTCTGTGAGTCTAATTATTGAAAAACCTTCTTGAGTATTATTGTCTCTTGAAGTGAAGTATTGAGTCTCCCTATGTTCTTAATTGATATTGTATGCGGGCTAGGTCGAACCATACTAGTTTAAAAGCAGCCAATTTGAGTAAGGTATGAGTCGAGGCACAAAATCTTTAACTAATTACTGGAAAGGTGTGCAATATATGGAGAGTAGTCAGTAAGTTAATTCCATATAGGCTTAGTTGATGCACATTAATGTCGTTGTAGATCCATACCCAAGTTGTTTTATTTTGACAAAGATGTTGACCAAGCTCAAGATGAAAACTTAGTTTATGTTTATATTTTGATGATTACAAAGAGTCTCTCATGTATTAAGAGTGCAAATTGTATTGATGTGTGTTTATGTTTTTTAGACATGTTTGCTTTGGGCATTATGAGTAACTTAGTCAAATATTTCTTGTTATATGTTGTTTGATGATGAAAATATTTTCAAATTGGTTTTAAACTTGAAAAATTGAGAATCGAGTTTGTCACTCAAAATAATCGATTATCCACTTGAAATAATTGATTATTTACACTATGTTTTCTCATTCTGAGAAACTCATTGTAATAATTGATTCACTGTGCAATAATCAATTATTTTAGAGATAGCTCTCTGTAATAAACAATTATTCTAGCAAATAATTGATTATAGTGTTCTAGATTGGTTTCGAAATTCACCAAGAACAAAATAATTGATTATCCATGAACATAACCAATTATTTCAGTCAAAGAATTCTATAAATATCAATTTTTAAACTTAGAACTTATCGATATGAAAAAACTTGTAACTTTGTTAAATCTCTTATTTAAAAAAGGCTTTTTGAACTTCTTTGTTTTTTGTTCGAAAGAATTCTTTGATCTCTTGTGGGTAATTTCAATCTGATTCACCTCTTTAATTGATTGTGTATCTATGTGAATTCGTTCTATAACTCTTTTTTATCATTGTTCTTGAGTAGGTTTCTCAAGATTAAAGGTTTTTTAGTGGGTGACTACAAGAAACATTTCTTGAAGTTCAATACATGGGTTTATATTTAGGATTCTAGGAGTTTATTGCATGTGTGTGTAATTGTAATACTCTAAATCTAAAGATAGTAAAAAATCTCAATCAGGTTATTGGGGATTGGATGTAGGTCATAGTGGTGGTGACCGAACCAATATAAATCCTTGCATATCAAATAGGATTCAACATATATTTTACTCTTAAATTTAGAAATCAATCTCAACATTACCTCTTATACCATCTAAATTAATAGATTTCTTTGGAAAGATTTTATAAAAGTTTTTGAAAATTAAAGATCATAAAAATAAATTTTTAAATATCCAATTCACCCTGTCCTAGATAAAGCCATATTTTCTAATACGAGATACTAGACTTTCCTAATTTGAGTGGCAAAATCCAAGAAATTGTGTTGTCAATTGATATCTAAATTTGTTGTTGATCTAACAAGCCAAAAAAATTATATTATTAAGTTGGTTTAGTGGGGTTAAGTTACTTATACTGCTTACTTGTGTCATAAGAGATCTCTTAGTCGAAATGCATGATGACACATAATGTTATTGTGTTGCTTAATTGTTGTCTTGCTAAGATCGTTGTGTTGTTAACAATGTTGCGTTGTTAAGTTGTGTGTTGTTCATATGCTAAGAGATATAATGATGGATTGCATAATTATGTTGTAAGCCGAAAAATTGTTAAGTTCAAAAGTTATGTTGTATGTTGATTGACGCCAAACTGGGCCTTGGGCCGGTGTTGTGTTTGTGATGATGAAGTTGTTTTATATATAGTTATCTTATTTGCTTTCTATATTATGTTGTTTTTAGTTTATGAGCTTACCCTTACATTCCTTACTGTTGAACTATGATGATCATATTATTATAGGAGTAAGATAAGATTAGGTCGAAGCTAGGGATGACAAATAAACTTGTACCCGTGGGTAATACTTGAACTCGTCCCGACTTTGACGGGGAATACCCAATTTGACCAAGTACGGGTACGAGTACGGGTAAAACCCAGTATATTAAATCAACTACGGGTATATACTTACCCGTCCTCGTCCCCATCCTTGGTTTAATACTCACCCTCGATATAATTATGTTAAAGAATTTTAATATTTTATTATGTGTGATTATTTATCATAATGTGAAACATTTATAGTTATTTAATTATTAGGAAGTCTATTGATTAAAATATGAGATAGAAAAACAACCTGATTATAATTGTAATATAATATATATAAAAAATTAAAATATCGTGTATTTTTTTACAATTTTTTTTTTGACTGGTACGGGTACAAGTACGAGTAGGATACGGATACGAGTATACCTGATACTCAATGGGAACGGGGATGAGGACAAAAATAATATACTCGACGGGTACATGTACGAGTACGGGGATGAGTTTGAGTTGTAGGGACGGAGACGGGTATCATGAAACCCGTACCCGACCCGCCCCATTGTCATCCCTAGTCGAAGGGTGAGTAGGATTTTCAGGTGACATGTTGTAGACAGCGATGAATTTATCGATGTTGTTCTAAGACAACATATGTATTGTAATTGTTTGACTTGCAACTTAGGATTTTATGTTTTACAATTGGATAATTGTGTGTGTATATTTATGTATGTATGTACAAGATTTTGATGTAATCCCACCAAGAGATTTTTATTTATGTTTTCAACTATTTATTTCTACACACACACACATATATTGTTGTATGTATATCCAATAAGTGTTGCATGTTAATTCTAAGTATTTAGATTTATGTTTTATACTACTTAGTTGTTGAACTGTAAAATGTAGTGACATGTTAGGTCGTTACACATATCATATCTTATTTTTATAACAAAAGATAAGATTTTATTTTATTTTGATTTATTATTAATTCTATTACTATTTACTATTTATAAGATCCAACTTAAAATAATTGTGTATTTTTTTATATAAGACCCGATTCATGTTGTCTCATATATTAATTATTTTTAAATTAAAGTATCCCTAATTAAAGTTTGTAATAAGCTTGGCAGCCGCAGGAATAATCCCCACCTCTTGAAAGAGTTTGCATATATATATACGCATAAGAGTAACCTAATTACAGCAAAATTACAGCGTAATTATAGTAGCAAGAATCTCTAACAGATTTCCTAAAATTGGCTCCTACTTAAATGACTAGATAGCCTGTGATTGAGTTGAACAAATCAACGCATAATCTGCTATGCTAAATGTAACGTGATCAAATCAGTTAGGATCTCATATGTTTGCAACATATCTCATTACCCCCCCCCTCAAGTTGGAGTATGGAGGTTTTGAATACCCAACTTGCTCAACAAAGAGTGAAAATGAGACCGACCAAGAGCTTTAGTGAATATATCGGCTAGTTGGACATGTGTAGAAACGTAAGAAGGTCGAATGA